TTCAATAAATGAATTATTGATTATTAATATTGGGGCAAGGCCACAGGCATCTTTGTATCTAGATTTGTGTAGTCTAATTAAATACCTTTTAAATGAGGCAGGGTGCTAGTTATCATCTCACATAAAGGCGCAAAAGACGTTTTCTGTGAATGCTAGATAATGCGACACTGTTAGCTGATTTTCAGAGGCAGTATGAACAGATCATCTTTAAAAATTATCCTTTGCGTGCGCGTTGTGCATTGCATTCTCCATAAAATGGCGTCAACCGTCGGGTGCAGTGATTACCCAGCTTTAATGATATACTGATGTAGTTGCTAAAACTAAGCAGCCTATGAGCTTACGTTCAATGTGTATTTTCCTTTACTTCTCTTAAGCTTGTTTTCCACTAGGCAAATTTATTCGCGCGAATCAAAGCGACAGTTTGTTTCCCGAGCTGATTGGTTGCGCATTTTTTTCCTTCGCAAAAACTTCAATAGAAATGTGAATTCGCATGAACGGACACTTTTGATTCCCGCCAATAAATTTGCCTTATCCAGACTATCAAATTTTATTTGACAAAAACATGTGACATGCCTATATGGTAATGATGACATCATATCATGACCATATATAGGCACATCATGACTAAATATAGGCATACAAAAATTTGTTGTCAAAGAAAATTTGATAATGTGATAATGTTATGTTGCTTTGAGGCACTATGTGAATCAAGAATTATAATCTGTTTTTATGTGACTAACCTCTTTGCAACATCAGATGGAAAGGTTTATTTGAACCTTCTCTGTATGGCAGTACGTTGGATTTGTGTCACAGTATGATGTGTTTCCATTGGTTGATCAGTTGCCTAATTTGTTGCTATAGACTGGAGTGATTAATTAACTAATTGAAAATTGGTTATGTTGTCTTAATGAAAGTTGAAGTACAAAGTGTTTAATCATTTGTCATTGTAACTTTCTGTGTACATTATCAAAAAATATTTAACAATTTTCAGCAATAGTTGATCCAAAGGATGGTGAAATGGGTGCATGCTTCCTGTTAGCAGTAGTCAAGCAATCCTCACCATGTGTCAAATAGTTATGCATGAGGGAGAGGGTTTGGGAGGGGGGTTTTTCATTCCCCAACTTGATACGCACATCCAACATAGGTGAAGTGCCTTTTCCACAGGCACAAGTAAAATTCACAGCAAGCGATGAAACCCACAACCTCGAGATTAGGAGCCCAAGCCCCAAACTCTGTGCCAACCACTCCTGCTGTGCATTGAGCATAGCTCCAGATTGAATGAATGAGTGAATGTACACTGCCAAAGATACTAGAAATACAAGATAGAGCACTCGCATAGCAAACATAAGACAGATATACGTAATTTCTTTTACGCAAATCCAGTCGTAAGCTGCGCCCTTCAGTTTTCAATATAGCAATTTACACATGTTTATCCAGTTCCCATCGAGACGTACAGGGCGTCCTCTGTTGCTAAGTAAATCCAGACGTACGTGGCACCCTCTTTCCGATAATGATGAAAGCTTTATCACTAATTAGAGTCCGGCTATATGATTCGTGCTTTTATGTCTGTTTGTTATTCTTTTGATTTATTTATGCCTACTTGTTTGTATCTTATGGGTGGCAATGATTTCTACCTCTGCCAAACAGGCTCCAAAGATGTTATGTATTCACTGTGATATTAAAGTTTGGTCGAAGTTTGTATTATCACCGTGCATATCAGTGGAACACTTTTTTCTGTAGAGAACTATCTTGTGTTTTTTGTATCTTTGGCGCAACACAAACTATTTTTTGCACATGAGTAATAGATTTATTATCATTATGTCATCTTTTTGAATTGAAACATATTAGCATTAAAGTTTGGAGGATTTCTGCTGCTGTTGTAAAATAAAAATATAATAATATAATAATAATATTTTTTTGAGAGAAACAGTTTTCAACTTACCATTTCCACAAACACCTTGAGTTGTTGTCAGAACTACTACAAGTATGGTAAATAGTAAATCATTGTGTTCTATTAGAATACATTTATTAATTCTTTTTAAAATAATTTTTAAAAACCCATCCATAGAATACATAATATAGTGATATAATTGAAATTACTAATTTTACAAACATAATCATTAACTGTTCAAAATAATATTACAACCACTTAGAATGCTATTCATGAAATCTTTCATTAAGTGCATTAATGCACTACATTATTTATTGGCAGTGAAGTTATGCTAATTTACAATTACTACCAATTCATCTATTTGTCACTTGCTTCCGAACAATTTGATAATGTGACCTGGACATGATCTCTGGTTAGGGTCAAAAGTTGAATTTAAAGGGACAACATTGAATTAATGAAAAAAAAAAAAACAGTATTTAAGTTTTATTGAACAACTGTTATAACCACATTGTTTGTTTATTTGACATCTCAAATAAAATCAGTAAAATTACAACAATATGCATTTAAAGAAATTGTTTTTAACAATATAATACAAAATATAAATATGACTTAGTAATATTTTTGAAATGCTAACCATTTGTACATTCAAACATACAAAGGTGTATAGACAGGTGGATCTATGACACTAAGGGTATGTCAGCCCATTACCATTTCTAATTAAATATAATTGACTGGACAGATTCCCAGCATGCATTGCAGCATAAGGCAATTCTCATAGGGAAAATTCAATGGCCATTCATTGTAGCAAAATTATGAACTGACTATATATATATTTATATTTATAAAGCCATCATCACGACAACTGCAAGTAAAAATTTCTCAGGCATGTTTGATTCCCACAATACACGAATTCTCAGCCACAGTCTGACAGGACTGTGTTTTATTACGTTATTTCGAGAAGGGAGGGTGGCCATATCGTATGTTTGTACCCGTTTACAGATCCTAATCAATTCTAATACTAACTTCAAAATGTATTATTTTCTTTTTTTTGTTTGCGGAGGATACAAACAAACTAATTTAAATTGCACAGGAAAACCTCCGAGGGGGCAAATTGTCTTCCCAAGAATCTCTGAGACAACAAAATTTTTTAGATGGGAAAATGATTCATTTGTTGGCCCTAAACCATTAATTTCTCGTAAAACTCCAGTTTTACAAGATCTGGATTTTATATGCACATTATCTCCAATTAGAAATGAATGATTTTTTAATTACTTTAGCGCATAGAGACCTCGTTTATTTGCGCTATATAAGTCCATCTATTATTATTATTATTATTTAACAACTTTAAATCCCAATTTAACTACCCTTCTTTAGTCTGTCTAGATTGCCTTCCCCACTTGCGCAAAAGATTAGGTTTATTATATGATGTTTATCCTCCATATATTTAAATACCGACTGGGAGATGAGCTTGTACACTATTGTAAAAAGCTATACATTCTTTATAGATAGATTGTTGTATATTGAGCTTGTGGAACTCAAGTAAATCAACTTGAAATGTTGGTAAATTCTTGCCTGGCATAGCTAGCTAACTTTGTGTTTGTATTCTTTGATAACATGTTCTGTATACTTGTATACTTGTAATAAGGTAGTGGTACTTAACTTGCTTTAATTAAAATATCTGAGTACTACTCATTTAAACACTGAATTTCACATCCTTGATTGCAGAAAACAAAAAGAAACCAAACTATAATATAAAAAGGAAAAGAAATATTTATTTCAATACATACCATCCTGACTCCCCAACTCATAACTCATGAATACTAATTGTGACTCCCTAGCTCATGAATACTAATTGTGACTCCCTAGCTCATGAATACTAATTGTGACTCCTCAACTCATGAATACTAATTGTGACTCCCTAGCTCATGAATTAGCTCATGAATACTAATTGTGACTCCTCAACTCTCAACCCATGAATACTAATTGTGACTCCTTGGCTCATAAACAGTAATCAAACCTACTGTATTTCCAGCTCAAAATTTCAGGTCCACCTGTTTTTTTAAGTTTTCCACCCAGTGTAAAGATAATTTCATGGCCCTCTGCCCACCTTTATTAACCCTTAAAATGCACTCTTATTATTTAGTTATCACCCACCTACCCTTAAAAAGCCTACCACCCATTGTTAGTTTTCTACACAGTACAATCCTAGGGACAGTCTTGATGTTGTCGTCAGAATGTTAACTTAGCTTGCTACTCTGTAAAGCGACATTCCCCGACGCAGACCTTTCTCGTGTGTGTTTAATTCACATAGATCCGACGCAACAAATTGTGTTATGCTGCGCTGCGTTGTGTTACATCATGCTGTGGATGTGTCAGTGTAGTTTTCTGTAAAGCAATATCTACACTATCCATATTTGATGTGACAAATTTGTGTGATATGCCTATATATGGGCATGATGATGTCATATTACATCCAAATATGGGCGTATCACATTTATATTGTCCTTTTTTTAAAATTGATTATCGCATTTAGCAGCTTGGTGTCCAAACTATCGAATTTTCTTTGACAAAAACTGTTGTATGCCCATATATAGCCATGATATGCCCATATATAGCCATGATATGCCTGTATATGTTCATGATGACATCACACATGACCATATTTAGGCATTTGTCAAAAAAAAATTGATGGTTTATTTAGATGCTGTAGAATTTGATTGTTAACTACTGTAAATTAATGTATATGTAAATTATTCATTGACCTGCTTTCGAGAATGTTACATTAGAAATTCTGTGTTAAAATGTCAAGGGAAACTAATGCAGTGCTTTCAGACTTCAAGGAGCGTAGCACCTTCCCATCATCCAACTCTACATTCCCATCATACAACACTACATTCCCATCATCCAACACTACTTTCCGAGATCATACAACACACACTGTCACGGTGTAACATACAAAGATTAATTCAAATTAAGCCACCTACTTCTATTAAAGTTTATCGTTATTTAGCAAACATTTCATTGGTCATCAAGGGTGTGACATCATATCTATGAGTGCACAGTAAGTGTACTGATCAATTCATGCGTTGAACAACTCTGAATTACTGGAACCATTTTGCCATTTGAGACAAATTAATAACGAAAGTATAACTACACACATTTGCTTGCCTAGGATTCTGTTTATTACAAACAAGCTGATGACAAGATAAAAAAAAATGTAAGTAGAATTGATATAATATTATTAGGTTATTAAGTTGTCAGTGTTAGTACTATGTATGATCCTACTCACTGTATTCATTATCTTTTTTATAATTGCCTTTTTTTTTTCTGTCCTTTTTGACGCTGTCAAAAATTCCTTGTTTAAAGACTCACCCATGGTTTTGTTTAATTACGGTATTTAAATTTTTTTTAAATATAGTTGTTTTCTTTAAAGATCTTATCAAAAGGTTTTTTTATTTAGGCAAAAGTTGCAGTAAAATAATTTTATTTCTTTGCACTATAAAAATATAAACATTAAACACAATGGTAATAATGCTTAATCCTTATAGTCATTAGATTTTACCTAATACCTTGACTTTCCCTCCAAAAATTTGAATGGTCTCTTCAATTATTATGTTGGTAATGTATTCATACACAGGGCAAAGGTATGTAACTCTATGGAGTTACTGCGCTTGTAGTCATTTAGGTTTCATATTAAATATTTAGTTTTTCATTTCACAATTTTTTTTTTAGCGTATACTCTTGTTTACTACATTTTAAATGTCAACATTAACAACTATTGCATAATACAACCATTCAACACAGGACATGCTTCTTGTTGTACTTAATTATGTTGGTAATAATCATATAATTAGATATAGATCATATTACAGCTTTTAATAGCCTATGTGATATACTTCTCTTTGAGTTTAATTTGGTTATGATTACCCATAATCATGTCCAGGAATATTGCATTTTTAATATATTATGCAAGTTATAGTTTCCAATCTAACTGTATTCAGATCAGCTGTCCATAGTGTCTATATCCTGTCAACAAGGACAGATTTCCCATGTCTCCCTCTCCCCCCCCCCAAAAAAAAAATGAAAAAGAGAGAAAAGGAAGGGGAAAGGAGAGATAAAAAAAATAAAAATGGTATTGAGAGCACTGCATGATACTGCTATAAAATTTGCAATCTGTGTACTCGTATTTATTTTACTTTACAATCGACTGTGCCATCCACCCCCGGTCCCCATCACCTACCTTGGTGCTCTACATGTCGCATGGCCCCCTACTTAGATATTTTGCTGGATCTGCCCATAGTCGATAGCTATCGATTGCCGTGCCCCAATTGCATGCCCAAATCCATTTCATTTCTGTGCCCCAAAGCAGTCCATCCAACCCAGCGCATACATTCCATAGCTGTGTCTCAAAACAGACCGTAGCCACGTCCCAATTCATGCCCAATCTAGCCAACAGTTATATTCTCTGACAGTCACTTATTCGTGTTCTCATCCGTGTCCTTGCGCATACATTCCGTAGCTGTATCCTAATATAGCTATTTCTGTGTTCTAGCCTCCACGATTCAAACAGTCCACAGCCATGTCTTAATACAATCTATAGCTAGTCCCAATATGTACACGGTGGCGTATCTAAAAGTCTTGAAATGGGGGGTGCTGATGGGGTGGCGGGAACACGATGGTGAAGTAGGGGACTCAAGGATCAGTTGAGGGGCGCTAATTTGTAAAATAAGGTGATTTTAGGTGATTTTTAACTACTCGAATATTACTTTTTTTGGGTGGGGGTGGCAAGTAATGTTTTTAGGGACGTGCGCCCCGCCCCCTCCCCCCGATACGCCACTGTGTGTACACTCCTTAGTTGCATCCCAGTACAGTCTATTAATGGCATATATAACAGACACAGAAGATAAGTTATGCATACCTAATTAGGCTTATCATGAATTAACCAAGTAGGGATACAATGTAAAACAAGAGATAAGTGCTAATGAAGGGTAGCTGTCTCTTATACACATCTAGATGTGTATAAGAGACAGCCCATAATCATGTCCAGGAATATTGCATTTTTAATATATTATGCAAGTTATAGTTTCCAATCTAACTGTATTCAGATCAGCTGTCCATAGTGTCTATATCCTGTCAACAAGGACAGATTTCCCATGTCTCCCTCTCCCCCCCCCCAAAAAAAAAAAGAAAAAGAGAGAAAAGGAAGGGGAAAGGAGAGATAAAAAAAATAAAAATGGTATTGAGAGCACTGCATGATACTGCTATAAAATTTGCAATCTGTGTACTCGTATTTATTTTACTTTACAATCGACTGTGCCATCCACCCCCGGTCCCCATCACCTACCTTGGTGCTCTACATGTCGCATGGCCCCCTACTTAGATATTTTGCTGGATCTGCCCATAGTCGATAGCTATCCATTGCCGTGCCTCAATTGCATGACCTAATCCATTTCATTTCTGTGCCCCAAAGCAGTCCATCCAACCCAGCACATGCATTCCATAGCTGTGTCTCAAAACAGACCGTAGCCACGTCCCAATTCATGCCCAATCTAGCCAACAGTTGTATTCTATGACAGTCACTTATTCGTGTCCTCATCTATGTCCTTGTGCATACATTCCATGGCTGTATCCTAATATAGCTATTTCCGTGTTCTAGTCTCCACGATTCAAACAGTCCACAGCCATGTCTTAATACAATCTATAGCTAGTCCCAATATGTTCATGGTGGTGTATCTAGAAGTCTTGAAATGGGGGTGCTGATTGGAGGGGGGAACACGAAGGTGAAGTAGGCGACTCGAGGATCAGTTGAGGGGCGCTAATTTGCAAAATAAGGTGATTTTAGGTGATTTTTAACTACTCGAATATGATTTTTTTTTTTTTGGGGTGGCAAGCTTTTTTTTTTTTTTTTTTTTGGGTGGGGGTGGCAAGTAATGTTTTTAGGGACGTTCTTGAGCATTTTTTTTTTTTTTGCTTCTAACATTTTCATTGGAGTGGGTCGCATGGGGAGGGCAAGTTTCTTTGGGGATGTGCACGCATTCTCCTAGATACGCTAACTGCAGTCCATAGCTATGTCCCAATACACCCCATAGCCATGCCCGTGCTATGGGGTGACATATGACATTATGTACATATCATGAATTTTGGTTCCTCATAATAAATCCAATTAAATGCTGTTTAATTCATTTAATTAGGGAGCAGTTCCATTAGGCTGTCAAAGCAGATATTTACATTCTGCATGAATCTCATGTACGCAAGTAGTGGAAGAAAAGGTAGTCGGCCTACTTGTCTCATTTTCACTTTCCATCAATCAAGTGGTTTTTAGACAAATTATCAATTTTTTAGAAGAAATGACTCAGAGAATATCATGGTGATTATTATAACATAGACATGGGTAATATTAATTGTTGTTAATAAATACTATTTATTATATTATACCAAATACATTCTAGGATTGACTTTAGATGTAGTTTTATTAGACAATTTATTATATTATACTTAATACGTTCTAGGATTGACTTTAGAGATGTAGTTTTATTAGACAAGAACTTTTGCTGGCAGTCAATGCCAGCTTCATCAGCTGTGAAGTATAACACGAAAACAGACACAGAAGATAAGTTATGCATACCTAATTAGGCTTATCATGAATTAACCAAGTAGGGATAAACAATGTAGAACAAGAGATAGGTGCTAATGAAGAGTAGAAACAATAAACAATAGTAAAGTAGGAATGATATATTATATAATGTATTATATACTAATTATTACTTACAATTTATTACTATACTTACTTATTATTATAATCATGATGATGTCTGTGCAGTGCTGGTATTCTGTTTTGCCTAATTACCAGTACATTTAATATTCTAAAGTGATTTATTCAAATTTGTCTGGAAATTCCAAGGGTCCCAAGTTTGAAGAACCCATTTCTGAGAAATTCATTTAATGACATTGAGGCGCTATATGTTCTATGAGGAAAAATTGTAGGTACTAAAGGAAGGGCCACGCACACCTCAGGCCCCTCCCTACCCCCCATCCCCCAGGATTGATTGGGGCTGAGGTGATGACATTTTTCAGAGTAGGCACCTTTGGCACTGTCAGAATGCAAAAAAATATTAGGCAACCAAAGATTAGGCCTAAATAAAACAAAAAGATTTGCTTTTTACTGAATTTGCGGGAGATAAGTGAATTTCTCTGAAATTTTTGCTTGTTTGCGGGAGTGCGGAAGACCATACCGATTTCCAGGAGACTTGAGACCCCTGAAATTCTATGTCAAAAAACAGACCTTCACTTTTATTTAAGAGTTCCTTGGTACAATTCAAAAGTAAGATGTGTGGACGTATCACCCTGCAGCGTACACATAGATGTGCATGCAACACATGTTCGCATGACATCCATACTTTGATGTGCATCCATTAGTAAAATGATGATAGAGATTCATCATGTCAGTTATGAGAAACATAAATTTACCTATTTTTTTCTATTACCATATTCAATTCAAATTTTTCATCAATCATAAATGTATACACTACAACATATGAAAAGCATATTTTTAATAAATATTCCATGCAAATGTAAGTAATATGTCATTCATTCTTTATATTTTAACAACATTTCTATCAGAATCCCTACAACAGCCAAAGCTGCAATCCAACCAGTTTTTCCAACTGACCCACTCGGTAAGGGGTTTTAGGTCAGCCCCATATCCCAGTTGCCCCACCGGCAGTCCTTGCCCCACCGGCAGTCCTTGCCCCTGATTAGTGTACTGTCCACAGTATGAGGATATTCACTCTTGCCTACATTTGCTTTGATAATTGAACCCTAAGATTTCTAATTTTGTGTACTGTTTAGAATTTTTGAACTTTCTTGATATCAATTATCCACAGGACTAGAAGATTTATCCTGTCCATAAATTTGGAAGGCATGATTGAAGGAAATCTCCAGTGATTTTGTTTGCATGATGTTGGAGCTCCGTGAGGCTATAGGTCTATGTCAACACGGATCTCATCCACCGCCCCCTTAACCCTAGGGCTTACTTGACATTTGAGGCATCACGACAGTGCATGTTTTATTGCTGTTTGATGTCTATTACTAATTGTATTGATTAAATTAGTGTTGTTGTTTAAGATTGTCTCATAATTTAACAAAGCAGGTATCAGGCCAAATTTAAATTGAATTATGTTACTTGTCTTGGCTTTTTGAAGCAATGAGAATATCGTA